AGTATGCTTTTATCGCTTGATTTTCTTTTTAATTGTTTTCTAGTCAATTATTTATTTGTTTTCAATTCCAATTACAAAAACCCAAAAAAATATCTTTTCTAGGTTAGAATTTCTTCTGTAAGATTTAACTTTGATTCATACCTTCCCTGTGAATTCGACCCCTACTTGCCCTAGCTAAGTAGTTTTATCTATTTGTTATTGGTTTGTGGGGAATTTATCTTGTGATTTGATCAACGACCGATCATAAAGAATCATAAATTACTCCAAATCGGTATATAACCTAAGACGTAGACATCAACTTTCATTGAAACAAAGTAATCCTCTTAACATCTTAAACAACTCCATTTGAATAATTGGTATAGAAACAGACGTGATGCTAATTCCAACATGCTAATAAGATTAACCCGCATCTCGCTGACAATTAACCTCAAATGTTATAATCTATGGCTTCAACCCTTCATATAACAAGCGTTAAGTTTTATTAATCCACATGCATGATAAATCAATACCAAACTTGCCTACGTCAATTTCCATCTCGGCCTAAAGATTTCAACAAGGTTTGATATCCCATTGAACCTAGGACTCCTAGAATTACAATTGTTACTTGGACCAACTTTAGCTTGACTCGAGCTACTTGAATCTAACTATAGCATTCATAAATCTCAAGATATGTTGCGCACCAAATCAATCAAAGTATGAACACATAAGATGAAGCATAGAGATAAGAAACGTATTCAAACGGAAAAAGCTCAAATTATTAAGAACAAAAGTCTCACCAATAATTCATTGATCAAAAGTACCTAAGGAAAAGAAGTATAAAAGATTTAGCTATTCATGGATTGCAAGCAATCCATGAGAGACTTACAATGCTTGAGGCCGGCGGCTTCCTCTCCTCTTCCTATCGCAAATCCTAGAGCTAGGGTTGAGAAAAGATGATTTTCTATGTTGTGTTAAGGTTTTAGACTTAATAGGGTATTTATAGAGGGTGGCTTAGGGTTAATTTAGAGCTAAACAAACCCTAAGGACGTGCTGGGCTGCTCTCCAAGTCTTCAAGCTAGTCCAAAAAAGAATTTGGGCTCAATTGGATCAATCCCGCTTTCAATTAATTTTGCACTTTTCTTCACTTTAACACCTATAAACACAAATATACCAAATATAAGGCATAATCAAGCATAAAATACCCAAAAAGCATAGGAAAATGACCATAATAAGATGCATAATTTTGGTCCGATCATTGATTAATAAAATTACCTAAAGGATAAGAAGTATGCTTTCAATTAATTGTTTTCTTAGTCATTAGTTTAGATTTACATAATTGTTTTCTAATTTAGTTTACCTATTTTGAAAACCTATAAAAAATCCCCTTTGGTAAGCTTTTCTTTTGTGTGTAATTTGGCTTTTATTTGCTCCAACCTTCTCTGTGGATTCGACCCATACTTGCCCTAACTAGTAGTTATTGGTTTGTGGGGATTTATTTTGTGGCTTGTTCAACGACCGATCAATGGATCAGATCTTAAAGGAGAGTCCATGGTCGGCAATGGGGCAACTTGTCAATCTGAAGCAATGGGAGCCATCAAAGGCCTCGAAAGATATAGATTTTTTCGAAAGCAGTCTTTTGGATTCATGTACATGGCCAGAACAGAGATTTGCTTACTAAGAAAAATGCTGAAAGGATTGGTGCTAGTCTTGGGAAAGTGGTGGAAGTTCAGAATCCAGTGGAAGATGGTGGTCTTGTAATAGGATTTCTGAGGTGCAGGGTTGAGATTGATCTGGCCGATCCTCTTAAGGACGGTTTCTGGGTTCCGTGCTCAAATGGAGATCGAAGATGGGCTTCCCGGAGATGTGAAAAACTGTTAGATTTTTGTTATAATTGTGGTTGTATTGGTCATTCGGAGAAGATGTGTGATGAAGAAACGGTGATGGCCATATATGATCCGGCGTTACCCCGATATGGTCCATGGATGAGGACAGCTGCTGTGAGGAAAACCAGTGAAGAATTTCCTCCGGTGGTGCATGGTGGTAGGGGAAACGACGCGCGTGAAGCCAACAGGCAGTTTTGGCACGTGGGTTGGAAAGGAGGCAATATTCGTGGATCTCGAGCATCACGCGAAGGAAGGGGAGGGACGTGGGATCCAAGGAATAACAGACTGCTGCTTGCTGACGTGGAGGGTAGAAATGAGGTAACTGAATCGAAAATCTGTGAATTGCTTGAGGAAAAGGCCAAATTAAATTCTACTATAGTTCATAAGGAAAGAAGTGGGTCTAGTACTAGAAAAGAGAATTTAATTAAAATGGGCTCAACTACTATTGATGGGGTCACAAAGGACACGCCCATAGAAGCTTTGGCAAAGGCTCCGGCTGTTATTACTCATAATGAAAGTTCTAATGAAAATAATAATGTGACTTCAGAAAGAATAGTAGTTGTAAGAGAAGTGGGTTTTGAGACCAGTACTCAGAGGCCTATAACTAGTTTGAACTCGCCAGATTTCTTAGATAAAATGCTATGGAAGAGGGATAGAGAATAGCTCTCTAGAGAGGACATGGAGATTACCATGGAAAAGAAGAGCAAGCAAACCATTGAGCCAGAATTGTCAATAAACTTAGTCTGCTCGCCAGTAAAAAAGAAGAGGACTCCAAGGAAATTTAGAAGTTCAAGTAGTAAGAAGACGGGTTCGAATTCTGATGGAGCTTTGATGCCTAGAGCTGTAAGCAGTGAGGAATGTAATCGATTGAATGAGCAAGGGCTGAATGGAGTTCCAGTTTTAGTACATGAGGGTGCTTTGAGGTTTACTGCAGGTTTGGGTGGCTGGCCTGCAACAGCCACCAAAGGGCCATGAGTGCCATTATGTGGAACTGTAAGGGTTTGGGGTCGATCCTGACAGGAGGGGAGCTCAAAGATCTTAATCAGAAGTACAGACCCTCCCTTTTATTCTTATCTGAAACAAGAATGAAAAAGGAAAGAGCACTGAGTTTGAGAATGAGATTGGGTTTTCATAATGGAGTTTGTGTGGAACCAATTGGTCTTTCAGGAGGATTATGCTTATGGTGGAAAGAAGATTTGAAAGTTGAGATTCTGAGTAAAAGTAAAAATTTGATACATACAAAGATAAAAGACAGCAGGGATAAAAGAAGTGGTTTATGTCTTTTATTTATGCCCCTCCAACTTTGGAAGAAAGACTTATCTTCTGGGATGAATTAAGGGAGGTTGCTGCTGCAATAAATGGAGCTTGGGTTTTAGGTGGAGATTTTAATGAAGTTTTAACCAGTGATGAGAAAAAGGGTGGTTTACCTCTTGAGAACAGAAGAGTTATTCCATTTCATGATGTTATATGCGATTGTGAACTGATGGATATGGGGTTTAAAGGCCAAAGATTCACTTGGGAGAACAGACAGGAAGCCAATATCAAAGAAAGACTTGATAAATGTTTGATAAATGTTAGATGGAGAACTCTGTTTGTCAATGCTCAATGTTTTAATTTACCTGCTATCGGGTCTGATCATTCTCCAATTCTTTTAGTCTTGAAGCCTGACGAGAAGAAAACTCAAAGAAAGTTTAAATTTGAATCCTAGTGGACAACTTCTGATGGTTGCAGAGAGGATATTAACAATGAATGGCAGGGACAGAATGAAGAGAACTGGATTCTAGAGGTTATTAAAAGGCTGAAGAAATGCAAAAATGCTCTTATTAATTGGAGCAAGAAAGCCTTCCCAAATAACAGAAAAGAAATTGACGAGCTCATGAAAGAACTAGCCAAGATACAAGACAATAGCTTCATATTGGAGGAACAAGGAAGGGTAGAGGTAATTATAGCTAAGTTGGAAGAGATTTGGGCTAGAGAGGAAATGTTTTGGCATCAGAGGTCCAGGGTGAATTGGCTTAAATATGGTGACCAAAACACCAAATTCTTCCATTTAACTACTCTGCAAAGGAGAAGTGCAAACAAAATATTAAAGATCCAAAACTCAGCTGTAATTGGGTGGAGAATGAAGAAGGTATTGAAAGAATATTTCTGAGGCACTTCATGGATCTCTTTAGAAGTAGTGGTAGCAAAAATTGGTATGAAGCTTTGAGCCATGTTGACAGAGTTGTTACCGATGATATGAATGATGAACTGTTGAGAGAAGTAACAGAGGAGGAAATCAAAGTTGTTGCATATGATATGGGAGCTATTAAGTCTCCAGGTCTTGATGGCTTTTTAGGGATCTTTTATCAGAATTACTTGGACATTGTTGGTGATATTGTGGTTAAGGCGGCAAAATAATTTTTCAAAACAGGTTATCTTCCCCAAAAGTTGAACAAGACAAACATTGTTCTCATTCCTAAGGTTCCAAATCCAGAAGAAGTTGGTCAGTTTCGACCTATTAGCCTATGCAACTACATGTATAAGGTGATTTCTAAAGTTTTAGTCAATAGAATGAAGGGCATGTTAACTGACATTATTACTCCTAGTCAGTGTGCTTTTGTCCCTCAGAGGCAGATACAGAACAACATCTTTATAATACTTGAGGCTTTTCACCATTTGAGGCTGAAGAAAAGTAAAAAGGATGTTGAGGTGGGTCTTAAACTAGATATGAATAAAGCATACGACCGGGTCGAATGGGATTTCTTAAAGGAAGTCATGAAAAAGATAGGTTTTGCTTCTAAGTGGGTGGATCTAATTATGGAGTGTGTGACCACTATGTCTTATGCCCTGGTGATCAATGGTAACCTCTCAAAACCTTTTCTTCCCTCTAGAGGTCTAAGGCAAGGTGACCCCTTGTCACTTTAACTTTTCCTGTTTTGTGCTGATGTGCTTTCAAAGATGATATCTAGAGGAGTGGAGAATGGCGAAGTAAAAGGAATTAAGTTAAAGCCCCAATGTCCAACTCTTTCTCATCTGTTTTTTGCAGACGACTCCTTATTTTTCTTAAAAGCAGATGCTGAGAATTGTAGGAGAATGGCTGGAATTATTGAGCATTATTGTGAGGCATCAGGGCAGCAGGAGAACTTCCAGAAGTCTGGTCTCTTTTTTAGCACTAACTGCCCAGAAGATATCAAAAGGGAGTGCAGCCAAATTTTTAACATTCCATACACCGAGAATCCTGGTAAATATTTGGGATTACCAGCTCTCTAGGGTAGATCGAAGAAGGAGGTACTTGGCATCATCAAAGATAGATTGCTGAAAAAGATCAAGGGGTGGAAAAAAAGCCTGCTTTCACAAGCTGGGAAAGAAGTGCTTATCAAGGCAGTAGCTACTGCAGTTCCATGTTATACTATGAGTTGCTACCTATTTCCAAAAGGTACCTGCAACGAATTAGAATCTGTTATTGGGAAATTATGGTGGGGTGATGAGGAGGACAAGAAGAAAATTCACTGGCAGAACTGGAAGAAATTAACGAAAGCTAAACAGACTAGGGGGGATGGGCTTTCGAGAATTGCACTGCTTTAACAAAGCTCTTATTGCCAAGCAAAGTTGGAGAATTGTGCATAATCCAAATGCACTATGGGTGAAGATCCTAAAAGGAGTATATTTCCCAAATTGTGATTTTATGGAAGCCGGTAGAGGTGCACGACCTTCCTGGGGCTGGATTAGCATGTTGGAAAGACGTGATTTAATGAAAAAAGGTCTGCTATCATAGGTTTTTTTCAGGAGAACAGACCAATATTTGGGAGCATAGTTGGATTCCTGATTTGAATGGTGCAACTCTGAAGTACACCCCAGAAGTAGAGGAACAACTCCCAAGAAAGGTGAATGAGATCATGGATGCAGAATCTCGAAGCTGGCAATTGGAAAGTATAGCTCACAGAATTTCAGAGGAAGAAGCAGAAGCTATTTTGGAGGTTCCTATCAATGACACGGGCGGAGATGATGAGATGATCTGGAGACATGAAAAGAACGGAAAGTTTACTGTGAGGTCAGCTTACCACATGTATAAAGAGACTGAGGATCGAAGATTAATCCAGATGCCCTCCTCTTCACATACTATTCCAGAGAAATTTTGGAAGTTTATTTGGAGCATATTCTGTCCAAATAAAATAAAGAATTTTCTTTGGAAAGTTGGGGCCAATATTGTTCCCACAATGGAAAATCTGTTCAAAAAGAAGGTTATAGGAAATCCTCTCTGTACAATTTGCAATGAGAAAGCTAAAACGGTGGAGCACCTGCTTCTTCTTTGTCCTTGGACAGAACATGTATGGTTTGAGGGATGTACAGGACTTAGGATTGATAAAGAGAGTATCACTTGTTTTTCAAGTTGGTGGCTGGATAGCTTTGATTCAAAGGGCATACAGAAGAATGAAGTCATGAGATTGGTTGCAAGAGCTGCGTTTCTTATCTGGTATATTTGGAAGGGCAGAAATGTTGTACAATTTAATGGTAAAAAGCCAAATGCTGAAGGCTCAGTGAGAAGAGCTGAGATGGCTTGGAAAGAATTTGAGTTAGCTAATTCTGACAATGCCAAACAGGGAGTCATATGGGAAGCTGGAAATTTGAAATGGTCTCCTCCAAGCGAGGGAAATATAAAAATCAATGTTGATGGGGCTTTCGAGGTGGGTAAAGAAGAGGCAGCAATAGGGGTGGTGGCCAGAGATTCAACAGGTTCTACGGTGGCAGTAATAGGCAGGAAGGTGAAAGCATCAACATGTCAGAGGGCTGAAATGTTAGCCGTCAGAGAAGGGGTCAAGCTGGCAGGAGACAGAAACTGGGTTAACGCAGAACTAGAAACGGATTCAAAGGAAGCTTTACTGAATTGTACTAGGGGAGATGGAGATTGTGCTTGGAGAGTGGAGCCAATAGTAAAGGATATCAGAATCTGGTCTGGTGAAGCTAGGGGATTGAAGATGAAGTGGATTCCTAGACTGGTGAATGAAGCAACAAATTTTGTTGCAGTTAGTTGTCGCAAGGGGATGTGCGTGGATAACTGGGCCTTTAGGCCTCCTTCCTATTTTGTTTTAATTCTGGAAAATGATGGACTTCCGGGTCCTCCTTAATTTTTGTAACGAGCTCTGTTGCTCTTTCTTTCCGATATATATATATATATATATATATGGATACGCAGTTATGGCCAAAAAAAAAACTTGTGATGTATATATGCTAAACTCCACTTGACCGTAAATTAAATAATTTTCCATATTAAAAATATAGTTTATTGTTAATTTCTCATTGGAAGTTAAACATATGGTGAGTGAGTTGTGTGATTATAAGATTTTGTATGATGTACTTAAGGCAGAATTTACAAATCAAGTTAGCAGGGGAGATGTTGACACAATGTTGTTGGCGGCTTTGACAATTTTATAGAGATAATTCCGGTTAGGTGTACTGGAAAGTAAAAATATCCATAAATGGTGGTATGCCAAAAAGTGATCAACATTTGGTGTATTGATCCCCAATTGGTGTAATGTAATGAAAAAATCGATCAAATACCAAAAACACCCTTAAAAAGTCAGGGTTCTACAATTGTCTCTTTCTCCGAGCTGCTTGAGAGTGTTCATTCTTTCTCTGTCTTCCTCTCAAAACAATTTTTACATATTCCGATGATATTATTGTCGTCACTGCGGCGGTTGGCCTCCACCTTCCAATCAACCCCCAATAAGTTGGTGAAAGATTATTATTTATGGGTTCAGTGAGGTTAAATTGCTTTTATCTTGCGCGAACAAAACAAATGTCTTCATCTAATTTCTTCTCAGACTTTTAAAATTCTTCCAAAAATCCCTAAATTATATCTTTCACTAATGTTATCTATTATCCCCACTTCATTTTCTATAAATGCAATTTTCCAATCAGATCCCAAAAGAACATAGTTGATGTAAGAAGCCCTTCGTTCTTGACAATATATTAAGGTCTGCCTTCGCCCATGTTTCCCTTCTTTCCCATCATCTTCCGGTAAGCAAGTGTAAGAAGAAGCAGAAGTAGATAAAAGGAAAAAGGGAGAGGTGTAGTGGGATGGTGGGTGGTTCATCTTCTGTTTGGTTAAAGATCAATTTGGAGAAAGGAGACATTGGATGCTAATCAAAAGGAAAATGAGGTTTTCTTGTGGGGTTTTCTCTTTGTCTAAATCACTTTTTGGAGGGAAATATTCTTCCCCCCATCAGAAAGTGGTTGTCCGTACTGGTCCCTTTTTCTCTACAGGTGCAAGTTAGTCTCCTCCACGCAAACGTTAGCAAGTGAGTCCCTGCCTCCATGGAGGGCGCTACTCCGCCAAGGGATCCCCCTAATAATTCGCCGGAACGCACCCCGGCAGCGAAACACACTAGAAACGAAGAAGGAAACCCGATTCCATCGTCAGGTGTGGCAAAAGAGGTAAATTCCACTCTTGGAAGATGATCGTGTCGTCAATGACCATAAAATAAATATCCCAACAATTACTAACTAAGAATAGCTAGGGCAAGTAGGGGTCGAACCCACAGAGAAATTTGTTATTATTCTTTTTCTTAAAAGAAAATAAAATAGAGAGAATTTTGGAAAAGAGTTTAAAATTAAATCTACAAACTACAAAATTAACTAAGAAAGCAATCAAGAAAATTAAAGAAAACAATTAATTAAAAAGCAGAGAATAAATTGAGAAAAACAATTAAAAAAAAACCCTCCAACATAGAATTAATCTCCCTCTTGACATAAATAACATGGATCATTGATATCTAATAATTATGAAAACCATGGATAGCTTGGTGATTTAAATCTTAAATTACCTCAATTAGATAAATTTACCGTTCTAGGGATTAATCTACCCCTTTTACTCTTTCAACAATCAATTACCATTCTAGGGCTTAAGGATTGTCTAGGAATAAAGTATTAAGTACAAGTAATTTATAAACAAGCACAACGAGCAATTTCTCGGTCGTTGATTCTTATCTCTCTTGGAAGGAGGTCTAACTCTCATCCAATTGCTACATATGATTAAATCTGAGGTTCTAATTCTAGATCTAATCTAGCTAATGTTAACCTAATTTATCAAGGCAGTGTCGACTCCAACCCATCAAAACAAGCAACATAGGATTAAAACAGAGATCTAAGAAATACCCAAAACAATTTTCCTATATAAGCACAAAATCTCACCATGATAATAGTCAAGAGATCAATTAAATTCTACATTGGAGAAAAGAAAAGGATTACTCACTCATAAATTAAGTGAGCATCAACAAATAAGAAGAAGAGAACTTATCTATGGATGAGGAAGAGAGGGGGCGGCGGCTCCTAGGTTTTTCTCCTCCAAATCTTCAACTAAACAATATATCTTATGAGAATAAAAATTACATACAAAATATAGTCCTAAGGTGGCTATTTATAGTGGAGAAACAAAGGTAGGGCGGTTTAGGGCTGACTTAGACTCCAAGTTGGATTAGATGTCATCCTAGAGTAGAATCCAAGTCAAAAGAGGATTCTGGAATTTTCTGGAATCTGGCAGGAACTTCGACTTGAAATTCGGACTTGAAGATGGCAGATCTGGGTTTTGCACTTCAAAAGAAAGTTGTAGAGCTCGGAGTTAGCTTTCCAACGGCTACTCACGGGCTTAAAACGGACATCTGAGCAGAAAGTTATGGAGTTTATACGAAGACCGCGCTGAAACCGGGCTTATATCGCAAATCTGCGGGATTATTGCGGGATTTGGATATTCTTTTGGATATTAGACCTACAAATTGGGATTTTAACTCAAATTATAGGTTTATATGGGCTGAGTATATTCCCATATAAATAATCCAAAAATCCTCAACTTCAGGGTTTCTTCTGGACTTGGCTTCAATCCTTTGCAAATAAGCTCCAATCTTCAACTCTTGCTTCTTGAAATAATTCTTCAATAGTCTTCAAGTCTTCAAATTATCTTCAAGAAATCTTCAAAACACGAACTTCGTATCTCCAAATCTATACTCAAAATTACTTTGCTAATATCTGTGTAAAAAGTCATCAAAATAGCTCCAAAAGTAGTGAAAATTAACAATTTCCAATTTCTCATCTTATAAAGACTAAAAACACAAATATCACCAAAATAAGGCAAATTAGAGCATAAATAGATCCAAAATCATAATAAAATAGCCATAAAAATAGAGTTGTTTTTGGCTCAATCATATTTTCCCCCACACTTGAACTTTGCTAGTCCCTTAGCAAAATCAATGTAAGTTAATTAAAAATCAATTTTCAAAAGATCAATTTGAATTCACACATATATCAAGGAATCAATCTAATCATGAAATCAAAATAACTAAGAACATTAACAATACTTAATCTAAAGATCAATAAACAACAAGCATTATCATTCTTAAGTAGTCATAATCAAAGTAGCTCAAATCACTCACCATTCTTCACTCTTATAACTACTTCTTCCTATAAGCTTATATCTTCATCTATCTCTCCATTACTCAAAAGATTACACATTATAAATAAATCAAGGGTTCATGTGGGTTATAATAGTTTTTCAAGGGTAATTGATTTTAGAAAACTGAGGTTACTAACCTCTGAAGTGTTCATGTTTAGGGGTTACTAACGCCCTTTATTTTTATTTTATTTGGAGGCTACTAGCACTCTTAGAGGGACAATATTTCTGCCATTCCATGCCTCTTATCCTCTTCCCAAGGGTTACTAACTCCTTTTGTTTAAAGAGAAGAGTGACAACAATTGAACTTTTCAAATTTTAAATTTTAAGGCAGAAGATATCTCTACTCCTCTTTCATGAAATCACTTCTTTTAGAAAATAATTTTTAATTACCCTTTATATAGATAGTGCCCCACACTTATTCTTGACATATTCATAGCATGCTTTCTTAATTGTAACTTTAATCAAGATTCAACACAAGTTCTAGAAATAGATAATCATAAAAGCAATGAATGATAAGATCGTATCACAAACTTCAATTATATCTAATTCTAAGAAATCAAAACTTCTTGCTATAAATCAATCAATGAATAAAGCATTACTAAAAATTCTAAGCAGTCATCAATCATAATCAAATAAATAACTCAATATATGCATGAAAAATCAAATAGTTTGAAAAATTATCAAATTTTTAGTACTTCAAAAATCAATTTTTTCGAAAAATTTTCAAAAATTGGGGAATAAAATATCAATCCAAAAACAATCAAATTTTTATCCTAGGTTCTCATGCAAAAACTATCATATGACTCAATTATCAAATAATAACCCTATCAAGTATTCACCCCCCCCCCCCCCACACTTAAAATTCACATTGTCCTCAATGGAAAAGCAATCAAGAAATCAAAGTATGAGAAATAGCTTACCAAAAATAAAGAGTTAAGGTTCATGAAACATACCTGGGCGGCTTTGATGAAGAGAATTGCTCAAAAAGACAATAAAAATTAAAGTGATAGGAAAATAAAACTAGATAGTTTATTAATAAAACTGGAAAAATAAAGACTTAAGATAAAGGAAAATTAAAAATAAGGCATAGCTAAAACTCCTCTTCCCCTTCTTTATTCTCATCACAATCGGCATTGCTTCTAGCCGAAACTTTACTCTCCCAATATTGCTTCTTGTGTTTGATGAATAAAGAGGAGGGATAGAGTGCCTTTATATAGTGATCAAGTCCTAAGTCTAAGAGGTTTTAGTTAGAGTAAAAAGTAAGAAAGCATACCTTGTTTAGGAACACATTACCTATTTGGAAACGGAAAGCCATTAGGAACTCAATTTCCTAGTTAAAATAGGAAATTAAAATCCTAATGTACCTTGCATGTGGATGCATGGCTTGGACTTGGCATGGCAAGGACCTAGCTTGGCCGAAACAAGGCCTGGTATAGCGCGGGCGAGGGCGGAGCAGTGGTTGGAGTGGCGCGGGACAGGTGCGCGCGGGATCCGGGCTGCTGCTGCTGGTGTTGCACGGCATGGCCTGGTTGTACCGGCTGCGGCATGCTAGTGCTGCCTCTGCCTAGTGCGGTGCTAGCCGAGCCATGGCCTGGGCAATGCCTGGGCCGGAGCGGTCTGCTGCATGGCTCGGGTCATGGCATGGCTTGCCTAGTTAAGGTGTTGCCTTGGTGATAGCCG